GAGTTGCAAAGAATTAATTACAAGAGTTAAAAATACAAACAAATAAAAATCAACTAGAAAGGAAACAAAAACAAAATATGCCCGATGACCTTCTTGTGAATGGATTCCTCTAGATGTCTGTTATTTCAATCTTGGCACTGTTTGTTTGACGGTAGGCTTGTTGTGAAATGTTAGTTGAATGTGTTGCCATCCCTATGAATAATACTAATGTTGTAACTGAAATTTCTCTCTAAATAGCACATCATCTAAAATGCTAAAACATTTTAAAGTGTTGATTTTTTTGTAGGTATTTTATTTGATTGGTTGGAGGATTTCATCATGAGCTGACATCAGTTAGAGAACCATTGGAAAACCACCACTGGAGTACTGGATAGCTAGTTGTTTCACCAGTCTAGTTTGGGACTCTTCATCAGTACACACTCATCCCACTGCCGGGGTTCAAACTCAGGACCACCTGGTTACAAGGCGAGCGAGCTAGCTCATAGACTGTTAAGCCACTGTGACCCACCAATCCAATAGCCTATGAACTCCGTTGCTGAAGAGTCCCAAACGGGGACGAAACAGTTGTCCAGTAATCCCAGGTTTTCCAATGGTTCTCAAATTGATGTCAGCTCATGATGAAATCCTCCAACCAATCAAACTAGAAAAATCCCTACAAAAAAACCAATACTTGAAAATTGATCTGATGCTCACTAGCTAGCGATTGGCCCTATTCAGTCGAAGAAGACATTAGCTAGTGGTCGCTCTATGTCGTGCGTGAATTGGCAGAAGTTGGAATCGATGGACTGACTGGTCATTGGACTGGCTGGTCCCAGTGAGTGGCTTATTGGTCTACGAGCTAGATTGTCCTGCAACCAGAAGGTCGTGGTCTCGAACTCTGATGTTGGGGTGTGGGTGCATACTGTTGAAGAGTCAGTCCCAAACTAGGCTGACGAAAAAGCTAGATGTTCAGTACTCCGTACTGGTTTTCCAGTGGTTCTCAAACTGATGTCAGCTCATGATGAAATCCTCCAATCAACAAAAAATTTTCCTCAATTGTTTCTGAATTTCACTCACATTGAGAATATTATCATTCACTGATAACCTTCGGTTGAGAAGTAGTAAAAGTTATATTTCATGACTGATGAACCCCCCCCCCCTGTTAACCACTAGTACTACGCGTTAATGTGCTTAAGACTTAAATCAACGAATAATACGCGTGTAACGTAGTAAAGCTACATTTGCTTTTGACTGGACACAGTGGTATGGTGGCTACATTGCAAACTTGACTGACAGAATTCAGTCTGCACCAAACACAGGGCTAGACGCAGACATTATACTAGTTACTGACTTGTGTCCAATCTAAAGTATTCAATACAATCAGTCGTACAGGAGGTCAATCGTGAGCCCGAATAGCTCAGTGGTAATGCCTCTGATCGACAGCATCACTCACTGGATGATGCCAGTTCTAATCTCAGATGGTACATGAGTACCTTCAAGGCAGCTGCAGATACGCCTGCCTTGCTGACTGGTGAGTGGCAGTCATTCAGGTTATACTTCCTGCCGATTGCTTCTA